TGTCTCAGGATGTCTGTTGGCAGCTGGTGTTGTAGATGATGAGCACAACTCCTGTTATGTGATTCTCACTTCATCTGAACAACACTTGTAGAATGTATTGGATGCTCAGGCTTTGATGTGTTGTGTCAGCCACGCTCTCTGTCGTGGTCTAAGAGCTTGGAACAGGAGCAGTTGCTGAGATATGGGTGGGACATGGCTGGGGCTTGCCAAATGTATCTAGAGAGGTGCCCTGTCACTCAGAAAAGCCAGGAATTTTGCACATGGCAGATATTATCCAGCCCCAGCCATTCCATGGGACTTTCCCATTGCCAAGGGGATTTAGTGTAGTCAGTCTCAAACACAGAAAAGGAAGAATGTGCCTGATACTTTCATGTGAGTGACACCTGGAAAAGGGTGCTTGGAATTTTAGGAGGACACTGCAACTCAACATCCTCCTGTAAATTTCTTACAAAGCTCACAAAAGTGATCTGACAGCCAAATGGTGAAGAAATACTGGAGGAGGAAATTCTAATGTTACTATTGTATCCCTGCAGGTTTGGTGTGAGGGAACTGATGGCAGAGTGTGAAAGCAGCACTGGAGAGAGCCAGGTGTCCTCTGGAGGGGATTCAGAAGATGATCTTATCTCTGTGAGGGATGATGAAGATTGTGAGGACAGAGCTGAGAACTTCCAAGACCTCTTGAAGTCAGTGTGGGTGGGTGAAGATGAGGAAGAAGCAGCTATGCTGAGCCCTGAGTGCCAGAAGGAAGATGACAGTGAGGTGGGAGAGCAAGAGCTGGAGGAAATCTATGAGTTTGCTGCAACTCAGAGGAAGATGGCTCAGGGTGAAAGAGAGGTGAGCGAGGGAACAGACTGCAGCATGTGCAGTGACACTGAGGCAGTCCAGGGTACAAACCAGCAAACTGGGCAGGAAGAGGTAAAGAGACCTGAATCTGCCTCAGTAAGCAACAGCCTCGAAGATCTGAGGGATGGCAACGGTGAGGAAAGATCTAAATGTGACTTGTCTGTCCAAGAAAAGATGCAGAATGTAAATAGGTGCAAGAGCATGAATGATCCACAGACCTCTATTGTGCCTCACCACAGTGAACCTCAGAAATGGGATGGAACCTCCCATGGTGCTAATGAAGGAGTGGCTGTTGAGGGATGTGAGGATGTGAAGGATTCCAGGTCACCTCAGGTCTCACATGACAAGGCAGATCACTGTGAAGAGCACTTTCCTGCTTTCCAGGGTGACACTGATATCAATGACAGCTATGAACATTTGTTTTCTGCCTCTCAGGGGTATCACTGTGAACCTTCCCCGGTGAAAGAAGTTACCAAAGAATCAGGAAAGTCCCCTAGTGAAAAACATGTTGGTCTTAATGATTCACTTGTGTTCAGCAAGTCACAAAAAGACTTCTCTCCATGTAAGAATGGATTTTGTAGGAGTCCAACTCCCCAGCCTTGTGTGTCCCTTTTTCCTGCTCTTGGCTCTTCACCTGCATCTCCAAAATCAGAGAGAAAGTTTGCCAGGGAACATGTGTCAACACCAAAGCAAAACAAAAAGGAAAAATCATTCCCATCTGATGAAATACACTCCCAGAAAGCCAAGGAGCTGGGTGCTGCATCCAAAAATGAGATCACAGTTTCTCCAGCAGAGCTTCCTCACAGTGAATCCAACAAGCACACGCATGTCCCAGTGTTGTCATCACCAGGCAGGACTCAGGGGGCTGCAGCTCACAGAATCAAGAAGGGTTATGTTATTGTTTTATCTTCTTCTGATGATGATGAAATGGAGTTAGAACAAGGCAAGAAGTTGCCAGAGTCTGACTCTGCTCTGAAGGAAATGGAAGTCCCTGGGCACCTGAAGTGTACAGACATGGAACAAGGTCCTGAGATACCAAAACCTGCCCATAACTCATCCGTCCCCGAAACAGAGCAGAGATCAGCCCAGGTCTCATGTGGCAATACAGACACAGTGTGTGTAATTGGTGATGTAAAGGTGTGCCCTGAATTTCCTCTCAGCAGACAAACAGGTGCTTGTACAGAGATCAAACAGAGTCCAAACTTGAGCCCTGGGAAGAGGCTCAGTAATGAAATGTCTCCAGGCACAGACAGCTCCTGGCTTGTGCCAGGAACACCAGTTCTGAGCAAAAGCAGAAGCTTCTCAACACAGACTCTGGTCACAAGTATTAATTCTTTAAAGGGTTCAGGATCTAAACTCAGCACAAGGAACTTTGCAGCAGGTTATAATGACCATGAAGTGGCTGGAAATTTAATAAAAGTTCATGAAACAACATTGTCAGACAAACATTTGCCTGTGGAGGACTTGGCCAATGGAAGAAGCCCACCCAGCAGCCCAGCAGCAGAATCCTCTTCCAAGAACCCCCTTCCAGTTTCTCCAGCAGCTCCAGTTCTCCTCTCCCCTGGCCACACCAGCAGGGAAGGCAAATGTGCCAACATCTCAGGTTTACCCACACTGGTGCCTCCGTGCCAGGAGCAGCCACTGGAAGATAAAATCAACGTCAGTGTGGTTGAGCTGGAGGACAGTGACAGGGAAGTCAGCCTGCCTTCCCTGGGCAGCAGTGTCCTGCTGTGTGAGGAGCCCCCAATCCCTGTGGATGACTGCTGGCACCTTGGGTATGTGTCCCCAGCCAGAGGTGACAGCCACAGCTCTGGCCAGGTCAGCCCTGCAAAGAGCAGCACGGGCAGCAGCCCCAGGCCTGGCTCCTGGCAGGAGCAGGGGGAGAGCCCAGTGCAGGTGCAGGGAATCCAGGGCAGCACCCCTGTCCAAGGAGGTCCTGCTGGCAGGAGAAGAACCTTGCAGTGCCCTGAGAAGAGCCCTATTGAGCCATGCTCCTCAGTGGGCAGCAGAGCCAGTTACCTGGACTCCAAAATCTGGGATGACTGGAATGGAGAAGAGAAGGAAGATGAACTTCCAGAGATTCTTCCTCTGTCTCAGAGGTTGGCAGCTGCAGCAGGGGCTGGTCAGACAGATCCTGTCAAGACTCCTGGTGAGAGCTTGTATTGATTCTAGATTTATTGGGCTGCTTTTATTTCAGTGATTATCTTACCTGTGATGCACTTGGCACACTGAAAGGGTCTTTGGGCTTTCTGAAGCAGGGCCAGGCACAAAGGAGGTGCAGGCATTTGCTGTGGCAACGAGCCTAAATGTGGGATTCCTGGAGTGTTTCACTGTCACCAGCCCTTTGGTAGTGACAGTGCTCCTTGCAGGAGCTGTGGGTTCATGGATAGAGAAAAAACAACCAAAGCAGAATAAAACACAGGCCTGCTTGCCACTGGATTGATGATGATTTAATTACATTGCAGTATGTAATTAAATAATTATGCCATATTAAATGATTAGTTTAAGGGGTGATTAGAACACAGTGTGTGAGACTGGCTGAGCTTCACAGTATCAGTAAACTGGTATCATTTAATCAGTATCTAACTCCAGACCCCAGGAGCTTGATTTGCTCAATTTTTTAATGCATCAAGACTCTGTTAGGAAATTTGCTTCCTGGGAGAAGGAGCACTGCACAGAATTCAGAAAACATGGTTTTAACTGCTTTCTAAATGTTGCCTGTTCTAACAAAGCCCTGAATGGCCTCATTTTCAGATGTGACATATGTTCCAGTTTAAACTGTTTTCTGATGTAAAGTCAATGAAAACCAAGTATCCCAATTAAGTAGGTTAAAAAAGTGCTGACTATTCTATCCAATATGAAGCTGAGTAATAACTAAAGCAGCTTATAAGGAAGCATTAAACAATTATTAGATAATACTGGATTTCTGCCACTAACAGGAGAAGTTACCAGCCGTTTTAAAGTCCTTTCTGTACTGATTCTCATCACAGTGATTTCCTTCTGCTGCAGAACCTTCCTGTCAGGAGAACAACAGGTCCCCCAGCACTCCAGTGACACCCATGCCAGCTTATTCCATCATGGAGACCCCGCAGCTGAAGAAGGAGCTGAGCAGGTGAGCATTCCCTCCCCCAGGATGGCTCTTTATGAGAGGTACCTGCTGGAGGCAGTGTGGAAGAAGGGGAGCCATGGTGAAGCTCCAGCCAGGGCTTCCTGAGGTCACATCACACTTTTCCAGCTGCACTTCCTGGCCTGAGCCTCGTGCTGAGCTGTGACAGTGGAAGGTACCACGTTACTGTAACCCAAACTCCCACCTTCTCTCTCAGATTCGGGGTCCGTGCTCTCCCAAAGCGCCAGATGGTGTTGAAGCTGAAGGAGATATTCCAGTACACTCACCAGGATGGCGACTCTGACTTTGAGGATGAGATCTCCTATTCCCAGCCCCTGCCCCAGAAGTCCCCAAGGCAGCCCAAGGCAGGCAGGGCTGGGGGCAGGAACCGTGCCGGTGCCCTGAGGGCTGGGGGCAAGAGAAAGCAGCTTGCCAAGGGTGATGGTGCCCATGCAACAGGCTGTGCCCCACCCAAGGACAGAACCAAAGTGACACATCACCCAGAAGGAGCCAAAGAGCAGGAAGGGCCATCTGAGTCCCTGGCAGCTGATGGTGAGGAGCTCCCAGCATCCCAGGAGTCGGCACGTTCTTCGCTGGATGGGAGTGACATCTCCTTTGGTTCACAGAGGTGAGGCAGAGAAATCCTGCACAAAACACTCAGGGGTGCAGGACAGAGATGAGCTAGGAATGAGGTGAACAGAGGTGACTGTCTCTGTGGCCTGTAGTTGCCCTGCCACCTCCTTGAGTGAGTCATGTGGAGATCATCACACTCGTACAAAAGAAATAGGCTTTGGGTTTTCAGTCTAATTCCCACTGAACTGTTTCAGTCAATAATTCCCACTGAACTATTCTCAGAACATAAAAGGGCTGCTTATGAGCAAGGCCCAAATCTGGTGTGCCTGGGCAGTGACATGGAGCACTCTGTGCTGCCTGAGAAACCTGCAGCTGGAGTTGGGAGAGGACAGCACAGCATCCCTTGGCAGAACCTGCCAGGAGGGAAGGGCCAGGAGCCAGAAATTCCATGCAGCTCTGGGCTGGCTGGGATGGGAAGTTTGCAGAAACCCTGCCATGTTCTGCCTCATTCATTTTGTGGGTGCTGGTAGTGCAGGGTCTGTGATCCAACAGAGGGAAGTCACAGGGCTTCACTATTACAGTGATTTGAGGAGGTCACTGGGTGAGAGAAGGACGAGAATCTTGTTTCTTGATCAGAAGGCTGGATTTATTGATATATAATATATAATACATTATAACTATACTAAAAAGAATAAAGAGAGAGCTTGCAGAGAGCTGCTAAGCTAAGAGTAGAATAGAAGGAATGAATAACAAAGTTCTGTGTTCAGGGAATCTCCCCTGAGCTGCTCCTGTGATTGGCCCTTAGTGTGAAACATGCAAGATGAGCTAATCACAGGATCACCTGCCACATTTCACAACAGCCGATAACAATTTGTTTACATTCTTTTTCTGGGGCTCTGCTTCCCAGAAAATGGACAAATCCCAAAGAAAGGATTTCTATGAAGAAATGTCTGCGACACTTCACCATCAGGGATTTGGGGAGCTCTGGTCCTGCCCTTGTTGGTCTGTTCTTTCCTTCACTTCTGGTCTGTTTTGTCCTGCTTTTAGCGCCTTTGTGAATGGATTTGAAACCTGTGCTTTTACATCTGAGGAGGAGGAAGAGGAGTTTCCAGCATCTCAAGCAGCAGCTCGGGAGGAGGAGAAGCTGGAGGCAGTCAGGTGCTACATCCGCTCAAACACGGCCCTGTACAACAGGATTCTGTTCTACGAGCCCATCGAGCTGGCTGATCTGCACGCAGAGCTCAAACAGAATGGCATTAAAATCTCCAAGGCAAAGCTGCTGGACTTCCTGGATTCTCAGTGCATCACAACCACCATGGCCAGAGCCCGGAAAGAGCAGGTGCAGAAAAGGAAGGAGAGCAGGAAACAGAGGAGGAGATACCGAGTGAAGCCCAGCCCGACCTGCTGAACCTCCTGCCCGTGGATTGCTGCCCAGCTGGAAAGCCCCGTTCATTCCCAGCTGGTGGAGCACTGCTGCTCCTGGTGGCCTGATCCCAGGTGACATCCTGGAGAACTCCCATTGCCAGCCCTCTGCTCTGATTGCACAAATGCCCCATGGCTGCCCTGCCTTCAGCACACAGCTCACCTGCAACCTCTTTTCACTCAGTTTGGCTCTTGTGCCTTTTCTTTCTGTTTTTCCAATAGATCTTAGGTCCCCAACTTCTCTTTGTGCTGGTGCTTCCCTCAGTGCCAGGACCTGTTCCCTGGATTTGGGCTGAGAAATTCTTCGCCTTTCACATTCCAGGATTCAGTCCACTCTATCAAGTGCTGCCTGTTTACACTCCTGTGACTTCCATCTTCACTTCTTCAGCACAGTTTGCACTGCTGATTTTTAAGGCACGGAATGCTGTGGAAATACATAAAAGGCTTTTCTTCTTGCTTCACTTGGCCATCTCTACTAAAACTCCTAAATCTGTGTTTCTGAAATGGCTGCAGAACAGGGCAGGGGTTTGTTCTGTTCCCTTGGTGACACCTCCCAAAAGTGCCCCTGATACCTCATGTCATGGGAGAGCCCCCAGCAGGGATGTCTTTAAGGAAATATGTAAGCAGTTTTGAGCACTGGAACTCTTCAGCACTTCTCACAGCTTGAGCTAAATCCACTGCCTGGATTAGTCCCATTACCAAACTGGACTGGTCCCAGTTGTAAAGTGTCTGGGACTCCTGGAGAAGTCTTGGACCCTAAATTGTTGTATTTTATATATTGAATATTTACCTTCAAAACAACAACTGACTTCTGTCTGTTCTGGCAGTTCTGAGTGTGCAAAGGCTCACTGAAAAATAGGGACAGAACACAAAAAGAGGGCAGATTTCTAGATATCTTTGTGTATGTTGGACATAATTTTTTTATACAGAATTTGATTTTGATTTATATTATATACAATAAACAATTTAAATCCTGTCCATTCTCATATGGAACAGTAAGCAAACACAGGATTGTATAGAAAACTTGAACTTCATTGAACTACACTACTCTTCCCATCTTTGCTTAGGGGTGACTGGGAAGCCTATGCCTAAAAAAACCTAAACTTGAACTCTGAAAAACTTCAACTGGGGGTGGAGAAGACTTGGGGAAACCTATTTTCCTAATAACAAAGGGGTTCCTAACACCTGTGGGTGGGAATGTTCCAGTGCCTGGACTCAGCCAGGCCAACAGATCCACACTTACAGTACCAGCACTTGGATATGGAAGGGATAAATCTGAGAGCAATCCTTCCTGCTGGTTTGCTTTCCATATCATTCCAGTATAAAATTTCTTCTGGAGGGTTTTATGTCAGATGCCTAATGGAACACAAAGTGCCTGGGAGAGGTGATGCAGCCTTTGGCAGAACCATCCCTGTGATTACCCAGGGAAGATGTGGACTCCAAATCCCTGCAAATGTTCAAGGCTGGGCTGGACAGGGCTTGGATCAACCTGGGATAGTGGAAAGTGTCCCTGTCCATGGTATGGGGTCAGATGGGATGGGTTTTAAGGTTCCTTTCAACCCAAACCATGTGTGATAACTAAGAATTCAGATTCATGTCTAAGATCAGCACAATCCCACTGCTCCCTTCACAACACTTCGGAGACTTGCGTGGCTCCAGTCCCTGACAGATTGGAGAGATGAGGCACCGATGTCCTGGAAGGACATGGAGCCCAGATACAGATCTCAGAGTTCTGCTCTGGTGTCCTCTGGAAATGTCCTTCCCTCAGAAAGCGCTGGCTGCCATCGCGTCCTGCTCCCTGAGCCTCTGCAGCGGAGGCTCCGTGTTCCCCGGGGCGGCCATTCCCTTCCCGCCTGAAGCCGGGCTGAGGGAAACTCCCG